ATGGCGGGCAGGGGATGTCTTGCAGTCTGTGTGGGTTTGTTCTAAGGTCACTGTGGCTTGGTGGCATATTCCAGATGGACTCTGCAGAGGTACATGGGTATTGTGAGATGTGAACCACTCCCCAGCATGACCTTTTGGTTTGCTAACTTAATGAAATGCCCATTTTGTGTGGTTCATCTTGAAACATGTGCCTGGATTGCTGAGAAAGGGGGAGAGGAAGGGCTGAGTTGGCTTCAGGCTTTCAGGGCCAAGGGAAGAAAAGAGGCGAAATGGGGAAACATCTCTCCACGATGGCTGCAAGCTTTGAATTTGATCGCTTCTGTTGCCTCTTATCCTGGTTCTTGGCTCTAGGCCCAGAAGGGAGGTTCCTTCAATACTGAGTTTAGGACAGATAGATGCCTTTCCCTAAAAGTCAATAAATAATTACAAAAGCTGTGACCACTCAGTTTCTAGTCAGAGCAAAAACACTGCCCCCCGCCTTGCCGGTGCATGTTGCTTTGGACATCTGTGGCTCTGCCCTGGCCTGGGAGCCTGCTTTCAGGGTTGGCTTTTATGAGAGTTCAGATTCCTGGCTTCTTCCTCAGTAGTCCTCTCCTGGCTATCGCAGAGAAGTGGAACCCAGGGAGTCTCAACCAAAACAATGTGGCTCTTGCTTCTTTCTCCTGAGACCTCTCACCACTCCCCTGTTTACACCGGTGTCCCAGCCGCAGGGGGCGGCCTGTAGCGGACAGATGTACCCGGGTTTAGTGTGTTCTGTTCCTGGCAGCTCTGCTAACGCCAATCCATCAGCCACCCTAGAGCCCATCTCACCTCCCGCAGGAAACTGTCCTTTGGCCCTCTTGTCATTCCCACCTCCTGGCTTCCACGGCCTCCTGGAAAGACCAAGCCACAGCTTCCAGATCTGACTGCAGAAGAGTCAGACAGAAGCCCAGACTTACTGGACCCCAAAGACGAGGCAGGAACCTGCAATTGGACTCAGCTTAATTGGGAGGCACGGCCCTGTCATTTGAAATTTATTTGATTTTATTTTTTGGCTGTGCTGAGAATGGACCCCAGGGCCTCGCCCAGGCCAGGCCACCTCCAGCCCCGGTCCCTGCTCTGTCTTTTTATTTCTGTTCCCAGGCACATTGCTGCAGACATGAGGCCCTGGATACATGTTGCCCTGGCACCCTCTTCTTGTTTTCACTTCCCTCCTTCTCTAGCCCAGACCAACAATTTGCGATTACGCCCTTGCCATTACCATGCAAAACCCTAACCACCAGCTATTTATTTTTTCCATGTCCACTGCCAGGCAGACGGGAGCAGCGGCTCCTTCCCCCGAACTGTGCTGTTGCAGCTCACATCTCTGGTTGCAGTGAGCCCCAAACGTGACCCAGGACTATTCTTGACCCCCAGGTTCCCACTTCCTCCTGCCTCTTCCCACAGGCGGTCAGCAGCTGGCCTCCTCCCCAGAGAAAACAGTGGCCATCAGATGGGAACTCCCTCCACTTCCTGCAGCCTGCCTAGCTGGTGCCCGCCTCAGCACTCTCCTCCTGCCCTCCCTGCGCCCCAGGTCCTGCAGCCATCTCCTCCCACTCCTCAGGGACCTTACCTTCAGATGCCTCTTTCTCTTTGACCTGTCTCACAGGAAGGGAGAGAAAAAAAAAAAAAAAACCAACAACCTCTTGTCTCCACCCCTTATTTTTGCCTTCCCTTCCCTCTAAAAGTCCTGAGGTGTTTTGGGCTTGTTCTCATTCCACAGGGACTGGTCTGCATCATTCTCAGCACTTTATTTTATTTTTATTACTTTTTTTTGGTACCGGAATTGAACTCATGACCTTGCACTTGCCAGTCAGGCATTTATGCCACTAAAGTAAATCCCCGGCCCTTTATTTTATTTTGAGATAGGGTTTTGCCAAGTAGCTCAAACTGGCCTTACACTTGTGATCCTCCTGCATCAGCTTTCCAAGTAGCTGGGATCACAGGTGTGTGTTACCACACTCAAGATGGCTGCCCTTAGGACAAGTTACCACTGGCCTTTCTCAACCCTTTTCTCATGTGCTACTGTTTGCAGCCTTCTCAAAAGTCTCCATTCGCCCTGATCTGTGCTGCACATTCCCCATTTTTCTGCCGTCTCTCTGGTGGCTTCCTCTGTTGTTTTCCTGGTACCTCCTCCTTTCCTGGCCTGCAGATGCTGTGCCTTGGCACCCCTCCTTCTCACATCATGGGGCTTCTGTCTGGTCAATTCCATCTATGCTCTACCTGTGTTTCTTTTTTTTTGTACCCTAGTTTAGGATCTATACTGCTGTTTCCAGTGCGAAATCCATAATAAAGTAGTAATGACTGAGCTATCATGGAAGTAGCATACAGAGGCAAAACCAACCAGATCTCAGCCCAACACGCCTTCTGTGATGTTGCTACATCGACAGGTGGAAGCTGTGAACAAACGGAAGTGTGTTCAAAGCCCCGCATCACACACGACCCCCCCCCCCAGAGATGAGCCCAATTAAATGATGCTGGTGGCTGCGGCCTCTCGTGGGCTTCTGCCCATGGGCCTGGTGGCAGCGCCCACAAGTCTCCCTCTAAGGTGCTTTAACTTCCCCAGTCAGGCCAGTTGCCCTGCGAGGTGTTTTTTCCCCAGGCAGCCCGCTTCATTGTTACCATGTGACCTGTCCAAAGGCCTTTTATTCTGCACACACTTCCTGAGCACCTCCTACCTGTCTGGCATCTCAAGATGCTGAGGGTGTGGTGTAAGACAAGACACAGTCATCAACCTCAAGGAGTTTGTAATTACGAAGAGACAGAAAGAAAAGTAGACATGTGAAAGCTGCAAGAGCCCGCTGTACCCGGCGTGGCAAGCGTGCAGCTGTAACCCTAGCACTTGGGAGGCTGCGGCAAAATAGATGGCAAGTTTGAGGCCAGCCTGGGCTACACGGCAAGAACCTGTTTCAAACACACACACACACACACATCTTGTGTGAGGCCTTCTCTGAGTATGGTATTTACGCCAGAGGGCAGGCCTAGAGCAGGCCGTTTCTCCTTTCTGGGTGTGAGGGTCTTCTGGTCCCACCTCCTTGCCTTCAGACAGTGGAGGCCTGTGGATGTTGTGGGATATGAGGAAATACTGCAGTGATGGTCAACCTTTCCACGACGACAGCATCATGCAGCAGAAGCACCACAGGTTTGCTACTGCGTTAACTAGAGCCCTGCACTGACGTCTTTTCTTTCTCTATTTCCTCACCTGCAGGACACGTCGAAGTCAAGAGGTCACACTGTACTCTTCTATGTTGCAGAAGGCACCATCACTGGCAGCTTCTGAGGCTGGCCAGCTGCCTGTACAGTCACGCTGGTTCTCCTCGCTCAAGTGGGTGTCTCCAGGAATTTAGCTTCCCCTCAACATCTAAAGACACTTTCTCCTTGGGAGGCTCTGCAGAAAGGAAGACGTAGCTGGTCCTTGTGCTCTTGAAGGAAGCTACAACTCCTGCTCCGTGCGTGTTTGCTGGCTCTGGCTCGGCCTATTTCCTCCAGGTACTTACTTGCTGATAAATAAAAGACGTTTGGATTTTGCTTTGTTTAAGGGTTGGGTTTGGTGAATACAGCGAGGTGCTTTTACAAGAATCTCCATTTTGGAGCATGACCAACTGTGGTCCAAACCCAGCTGTGGCCAATCATAGCCGAGGAGCCTTGCTCTGAGCTGCACGGGGGAGGAGATTACGAGCCTTGCAGGCCTATCAGTAGGATAATAATTAATGCTTGCAAGGGGCTGGCACACAGTAAGTGCAAAGGCGATGACAGATGAGCCACAGGCTCTATCTTCAGCCAAAACCATGGTATTAGGAACTGTGGATGAGGAGGCACTGATGACTAACAGGAAGGTGCAGGCACAGAGGTGCCTTCTTCAAAAATTATCACAGGTCTTGTTTTTGTAGGACACACGGAGCTGAATGATTAAGGGCAAAGCCCTCACTGTGTTTCAGAAAGTGTGTGTAGTGACCCCGAGATTATTCATTTTAAGGCCAAAGAAATGTTCAACTCAAAGAGAAAACATTCTGAAATAAGTTCAAACACAAAAGGGCAAAGACAAAGTGATAAACTGTACTGCAATTATACAAACCAAGTGACAGTGACTGCTTCTACATTATCACTGAAAATCTGAATTAAAGGTTCACTGCAAAAAAAAAAAAAAAAAAAAAATAAAAGGTTCACTGCAGTTCAGTTTTTTTTTTCCCTGGTATTGGGAATTGAACCCACAACTTCCAGCTTGCCAGGTAGGCAATGAGCCACTGAGCTGTGTCTCCAGACCTGTTCAGGTACCTTTAATGCTTCCCTTGTTGATCATCAAGTGACTGATGCTGACAGTACCAGAGACAACTGCTTTTACACATGGATCTTGCTTGTTTCAGCTGAGCAGTGTTAATACAGAAAAGGGGGATTTGTAGGCTGCTACTTCTTGTGCTCTGACTTGCTCTCAAGTTACTAAGAGTGAGCTGATTATCAAGTAACCATGATTGATCCCGTGTCCCAGGATTTCCTTTTGCCTGAGCAATGTGACCGTGAGCAGGTCCTTATCTTCACTGAACACAGACTTTACCAAGTGAATGAGGTCACCCTTTCTGCTAGGCAGCATGTGTTAAACATTTGAACCCCCAGATTAGGGCCAACGGTTCTGGGATTATATAGTTTTATAATAAAGCAACTCTTAAGTAAGTTCTTAGTAAGGACAAAGGTAGATGCTAAGGCAAACTGCATACAACACAATAAATGATTCTCTTAACTGTGCAGTGTGGACTCATGAGGGAGAAAAAAAAATAACCGTTAGCCTTCCAGGTTTCCCCCATTATAGCATACAAACCGACTCAGGTATTGGTGAGCTATTCAGACACTTCAAAGACAAAACTCTCTGAAATAAACTATATTTACTATGTACTTAGGAGAAATAGTTTTTAGAATCTTGTAGAAAGTAATTTGACATCTTTTCCCTACCCCAAATCCCTCGGACTTTGAAAGGATGAAAACACCAATTTGGAGATCTTTCAGAGGATTTATTCGCTACAGAATTGCTTGAGTCCACCAATGCGCTGAACATTGGAATTCCGTGTGTAAAAGGATTTTGCTTGCTGCTTTATTTTATAGCTGCTGCAACATGAAACATTCAAAATGCAGGGTTTTTCTTTTGTCAGCATTTGGTATATCTAGAAGAGGTTAGAAAAAGAATCTATAGAATTAGATATCTAAAAGGGGGAACAAAATGAACATTTAAAAATTTCTCATTTGGACAGGTCCTGAGTTAAAATCATGCTGATGTATAAAAAGAAATGTTAGGTCAGAAATGTGTAACTTTAGATGCTGACCTTGGACTTGACTGGTTCAAATTTCCAGGCATTGTATGAATGACAGAACATATACAATTCTGGCATGTGTCCTACTTACCTTTTGAAAACTGTGTATCACTTTGTAAAACAATTTTTTTTCTGGCTGGGCATGGTGACACACACACACTTGTAATCCCAGCACTCTGGAGGATGAGGCAGAAGAATTGCAGTGACTTCAAGGTCAGGCTGGGCTATACAGTGAGTTCAAGGCCAACCTGAACTACAAAATGAACCTTGTCTCAAGACACATGCATATACACAGTTTGTTTTGTGGTGCTGGAGACTGAACCCAGAGCCTTAAGCATGACAGGCAAGCACTTTTATTAATGAGCTACATACCCAGCCCAATAAGTATCTCTTGAACCAAATTTCCTAATTCTGTAAAACCAACTGTCTTAATGTGATTCCCAATACTTTTTCAGACAAATAAACAAAAACTTTCCCAGCAAGATCACACATTTAAGCATTTGTTGCCTGTGGACAGATACAGAGAAACCAGTAAGGAGTTAAGTCAGCAGTTCGGCAATGCAGCTGGGAATCTCTAGGTGCCTGTGCAAGCAATAAGGAAGTCCTTTGCGGCTCTGCACTGGCTGTGCCCAGCGGGGACCATCCAGGTGACGTCATCCTGAAGAGGGTGTGAACCCCAGCAGCTGCTCGATGGGTTTAAACCGCCACTCGTCGGCCTCCAGTTCTTCTACCAAACCGGCTAGTTTTTCCATCCGAGCAACTTGCTGATCTGTGGAGTGAAGGAGGTACTATAATGCCACAATGCCCTGCCTGTGAAACTGTCACCATCACTAACATGATGACTATTTAAAAAATAATTTCTAGGCTGGGGATACAGCTCAGTGGCACAGCACCTGGCAAGTGCAGGGTCCTGAGTTTGATTTCTGGTACCAAAAAAAATTTCTAGATGAAATCTTTCTCCTTCACATTCTATAGTAATGGGGTCTTAGATTACATTGGTCAGCAAACTGTAACTTTTTTTTTTAAAGGAACATTCCTAATCACTATATTTACTGCCTTTTTTTTTTTTCAGTACTAGGGAGGGAACCCAAGGGCCTCACATGTGCTAGGCAACTGCTCTACCATTGACTACACCCCCAGCCCCCACCTTCACGGCTTTGACTGCACAGTGGAAAGCTGAAATATTCATGCTTATACTATGTACTTCTTCTCTTGTAGATAAGCCATCAAGGGCCGCACACTCTTACATGTTTTTCTTTAATCATATCATATCACGTTGCATCACAGAAGCCTCAGTGACTAAGTTTCTTATAAAGGGTAATAGTTAGTGTCTATGTAAGTTTCTCATAATATAAAGACCATCTGGGGGGAGGGAGGATGGGAAAGGCAACATAAAAAGTGCTAGGATATTATGTACATGCACTAATTCCCCACATTGAATGTAACCATCATGTACTACAAACATGCACTAATATAAAAAGTTTTAAAAAGGGGCTGGGGATTTAGCTCAGCGGCATAAGCGCCTGCCTTGCAAGCAGGCAGTTGTGAGTTCGATCCCCGGTACTGGTAAAAATGAAAAAGACCAAAAAAAAAAAAAAAAAAAAAAAAAAAGTTTTAAAAGTAAGAGTAAATATGCTTCAAGTCCTTATATAAAAATTTAAAAAATGTCATCACAGGGCTTGAGATTAAGCTCAGTGGTACAGCACTTGCCTAGCATGTACCAGGCCTGGGTTTGATCCCCAGCACCACAAAAAATAGAACCAAAAAAAAACTAGCACATTTTCAAGATGGCTCAATCCTAGGAAGCAACTGAAACTTTTTTTTAATACCAGGGATTGAACTCATGACCTCACACTTTCCAGGCAGGCGCTTATGCCAGTGAGCCAAATTCCCCAGCCTGAAACTGCAGCTTTCTCCCAGACAGGCTGCTTTCCCTGGAGAATGCCCAGCATCTCCTGAAGGCCTCATGGAGCAGGACTGCACTATCATGGCTTCCGAGTCCAAGGATGATGATGCTGGTGAATAAAGAGCCACAGCAGGACATGGAAGCCTACTCAGAAAGGAGAGGAAAAAGCAACCCAAGGGAGCAGGAAACACGGATCCCCTGAGAAAACCAATCTTGTGGCTCCAGCCTTAACCTGGCTGTGGACGTTCTGTCTGAACTAAGACCTTTGAATGCTTCTTAAATTTAGGAAGTCCACTTAAACAGCTGCGCTGAGTTTGGGGGCTCCTGCCATGCCGACGAGCCTTCCCAGCTCTGCACGCTCACCCACACGGTCAAGCACGCCGAGCTCTTGCGCTTACCGTGCTTCACCTGTTTAAGCGTGGACGCCACCTGGTAACTGAACACGGACTCACAGAGGAATCTTTCAGAGCCATCTACAAACAAAGGAGGAAAAGGGTTTTATGGCTTCTGATAAACCAGGTAAACCTATGAATTCTTTTCCTTGCTTTTACATTCAGGGTCTCGTTTCCAGTGTTAACAGCAATTCTGTTTCACGTAGAACTAACACCCTTAAGTTGTAAAAGCTACTTCTTCTATACCTAGAATATTAAAATAGTCTCTCTACTTGTTTAAGACTCTAAAAATAGTGTTTAAAAAAACAAAAACAAGAAACTGCAGGCTGATGCCCTGGTCAACATTTCCCCCTCCTACACTGACATGTTTCTTAATGTTCTTTTCTACCGTACGTCAAGTAAACACTGGCAGTTGACATATTTGGCCACGTGACAGCTCTGCTATCAAAAACCCGAGGTACAGTACACTGAGACTCCAAGTCCTTGTCATTCTAAAAACAAAGTGAAGAGAAAAAGTTGTTGATTTTTAATATATCCAATTGCATCATTATGACTATCACAAAACACTGCTGGGAAATTTCATTCTGTAAACATAAATTGTAGCCTTGATTTTCGAAGTGGATCAAAACACTGCAATTTGGCTGACAACAAGAGTATGGTGCAAGTTCAGAGCCTGGCACTGTCGTGGTGCCAAGAAGAGCCAACGAGAAGGTGGCTACCTTGGTCACCACAGCACTTGGGAAGTGACTGTGAAACAAGCAAGGTCATGTTACCCTTCAGCAGCAAAGGCTGGCAGAGCAAAACACATCCCCAAAGCTATATAATTTGTGTTGGAAAATTTGATTTTTTAAAGGGCAGAATTCATCTGGGGCACGTTATCTTACATGAAAATTCTCAAAGAGCAAAAAAGGACACAGCTGTCTTTTTCAAGGTACCAGTTCCCACCAGCACTAGTAAGTGCCAAGCACACACCCATCAATCACAGGGTGGGGCGGGTGCCAGGTATTAAGTGACAGGGAGATATGAGTAACGTTCTGGCCTCGTGCTGAGTTTCACACAAGGCAGATGTTCTTTCAAAAATGACTTCAGATTGGTAATCAATAAGAAAAACTAGATACTGTGTCCCAATGGCTTGAATATACATCCAAAAGCGTGTCCTTCCAACTTATTTTCAAATTGATGCCCTGCGCCAAAGAAAAAGTATAATTCTTGGGATGTACACTATAAGGAGAATTGTATTAAGTAAATTTAAGCCTTTTTTCTTTATCCTTTCAGAAATGAGGATTGATCCCAGGAGTTCTGTACCATTGGGGCTACATCCCTAGCCCTTTACAATTTTGTTTTGAGATAAAGTCTTGCCAAGGCACTAAATTGCCTAAGTAGCCCCAGGCTACTCTTGATTTTTCAGTTCTTCCATTCAGCCTGAGGGGTATTATAGGTGGGCAAGCCATCACTCCCTGCTCAAACCTCTCTTATTTTTTAATTTGAAAAAAAAAAGTCACTTTATTTGTACACTTAATAAAATCTGTTTTCTACACATTATATAACATACAGGGCACAATCCGTTCCCTCCACTCACCTCTACTCATCTGGCTAGATCTAAGTCATTTGTGTGTAGCTCGTCTAAACTGGGCAAAGAGAATTTTCATTTTCTTTCTTTTTTTTTTTTTTGTCTTTTTCCTTTTTATCGGTACCGGGGATCGAACTCATGACTGCCTGCTTGCAAGGCAGGCGCTTACGCTGCTGAGCTAAACCCCCAGCCCCCCAGCCCCAAGAATTTTCATTTTCAATCAACTAAATACTTACTGGCTTCCTGGATTCTCTTTTTCTCTTTTGGTGCTGGGGTTGAACCCACAGCCTTGCACATGCTAATCACATGCCCTACCACCGAGCTACACTTTCAGCCCTGACTAGGCAAGCTGATGACATAACTGAGGTGTGTTTTTTTTTTTTTTTTTTTTTTTGATATAGGCAAGCGGTAGTACGGAATTCCACTTTGTGACAAGGAAGCTTGACACCAGTGATGGCATTTATTGTAGCTCTCCCATGAAAATGATATGCCAGCATTCATTATTCTATTCATATCTTTGCTTGAAGAGTGGAATTGTAACTCTGAGTTTAATTTTAGAAAAAGCAAAGCACACAGAATAGCGTTTAGCCCCCAGGTGGCTTGAGGATCTCATCTACAAGGCACTGGAATTACAGGCTGTAATGATGACATCACCGTGTATATGGATGCTCCTGGAAGTGCTGTCTTCTATATACATTTTTTTTTTTCTTTCTCTCTTCCACACTGATCCTATATACATTTAATCATGGTATGATGAGGGCACAATGCTCGTTTCGTCATTTGTCCATTTCCTTTGGTAATGAATGTCAAGGCAGAAAGATGTGTTCTCTTTCAAAAAGGGACCCATGGACCACTGCCACCTCATATGCATGTAGAACGCATTTCTGCTGACGTGCAGCCCTGTATTCGCCAAAGTCTACCGCTTCCTTGCCGCATTCTACTAGAAGTGGCATCTATGCCAATGCAAAGCCCGAAATTTCCCCAGAGAGGAGTCAGCCTGGGCCAGTTTGTCGTCTATTTAGAAACTGTAATCTAATAATTTGTAACACACCAAGTAGCAACACATCAGCTTTCCTCTTAAAGGACAAGAAAAGGTTATAAATAGAGAAAGTTCAGTAAACTGCCCAAATCTAACACCATCACCAATACAATACAATGTTAACACAATTCACTGAAAAAACTATTACCTCACAGCAGGAAATTAGACAATGCCAGGTAATCAGCAGCTTACAATGTCACCAAAACACAGCCACTTCTGGGCTGGAAGGCCATCTCTAATTTGCTCACTAATAACTGGTTGAGGACAGTACTAGCCAAGGGCAGGAGAATGTTAAACCTGCTGTCAGTTGCTTATCTGGGGTGTCTGTTACCAGACAGAAGATGCATCAAAAAGTTAATTCCCAAGGTTAACTACAGGTTATTGGGTTTACTATTCTAGCCTTTGGAAGGACGTAACATCAAGGTGAACCTGTTAAGATCATAAATAGCATCCAACCTTGGTTCCTAATTGCTTTTGTTCCTTATTCTCAACTGGCAACCCCTACTCTATTTTCCTATTCCATTAAACTACAGCAAGAAATATGGTTTGCTGCATGTGCATTTGACTTGCTGGATAATAGTATCGACTATCACCATGATAGAAAATGCTTCCAAATCTAACATCCTTACTAACTCGCATTTCAGAGTACTACGTGGGAGGATAGACATGGACATGTGCAAATCCTATGCGGCTGTATGCAAGAGACCTGAGCCTCTGCTGATTTCAGTATAAGCAGGGTGCAGTGGGGCTGTGCAGGGGGAGGTGATATGGGCTGGTGGTGATCCTGGAACCAACCCCCCCGAAGAGATCAGAAGATCATTTGGCCAAGACAATTCAGAAGTTCTCATCTTATTGTTCAAAAGTAATTCTAAGATTACTGGTAAAACTTTAAAGCCAAGAATTCACAGAATCTACCTGCTGTGGTTGTGCACACCTGTAATCCTAGCAGTTGGGAGGCTGCGGCAGGAGGATCTGTGAGTTCAAGGCCAACATAGGCTATGTATTGATTTTGAGGCAATCCTGGACAACATAGTGAGACTGTTTCAAAAAAAACAAAAACCAATCAAACAAAATGCACAGGATCACAACTGTGCACTTGAATTTAAACTTAAATAAAAGTGCATTTTACAACAGAACCCAACATAGTCCTCCATGAAACAAAAGAAACAGATCTACAATTAGAACATCAACAGATTCATCTCCCAAGGTTTTCTTGAATATTTCTGCATATCTGGAGCATTCTGATAAAGAATGCTGATAGCTCTGAGAATGCAGAGGCACCTGCTGTATTAAAATTCCTTTTGTAGGCAGAATTTTAGAGTGCTATGGGGTTTTTTTTCTTTTCTTTTTTTGATACCAGGGATGGAACTCAGGACCTTGGGCTTGCCAGGCAGGCGCTTTTGCTGCTGAGCACTCAGCTTAAGAGTGCTATTGTTAAGCACTGATTCCTCTTTTGCTGCTATACAACTCATTATACAATGTAAAAGCCTTTAGCTTTTGCAGGAAACTTTAATACCACATCTCTTCTGTATATAACCAAAGTCATAATGCATTTTTAGTGCCAAATATGATAAACAAGGCCCTAAATGTTTTCTGCCTCCAGCCTAACTCAGTAAAACTAACTTGATTATTCAAGAAACACGAAGAAAATGGAAAGGCAAGGGCAGAAGTTCACATGCCTCATAGGTATTGCTAATTACATTCACTAACCTGGTCACCTGCTCCTAATAAGAACTTAACCAGCTGTAGAAACCCTAACAATTCTAGAGTCTTCTTGTGTTTTCCTGTCATAAATGATTCTTCTGTCTGGCCTGGCTTGCTAGGGATATAACTCAGTAGTAGAGTGTTTGCCGAGCATGTGCAAGACCCTGGGTTCAATCCTTAGCACTACAAAAACAAAAAAAAACAAAACAGAAGAATCATAGTTTTTGGTCTGGCTTACCCCAAAACCGCTTTTTATTATACTTGATATAAATAAATAAAGATCACCCCCAAAAAACTTTTTCTCAGAAATAGTCTCAGGAGCCAGACGTGGCGGCATACTCCTTTAGTCCCAGCACTTGGGAGGCTAAGGCAGGAGGATTATTTGGAAGGAAGCCAGCCTGGGCTACAAAGTGAGCCCAAGGCCAGCCTGAACGACATAGTAAGACTCTGTCTCAAAAAAAAAAAAAAAAAAAAAAAAAAGGGGCTGGGGATTTAGCTCAGCGGCATAAGCGCCTGCCTCAAAAGCAGGCAGTCGTGAGTTCGATCCCTGGTACCGATAAAAAGGAAAACGACAAAAAAAAAAAAAAAAAAAAAAAAAAAAAAAAAAAAAAAAAGAATAAAACAAAGGAAAAAAAAAAAAAAGAAATAGTCTCAGGTGAGTTTTTAAATGTATCACATAACCAGGCATGGTAGTGTATGCCTATAATCCCAGCATTTGGGAGGCTGAGGCAGGAGGATCTCCATGAGTTCAAGGCCAGCCTGATCTATATAGTGAGACGCTGTCTCAAAAACAAAACAAAAAACCTAATAGAAACCCATGTGTGTATATATATGCTACGTTTAAAGAAAAAAGACAATAGGGGCTGGGATTTAGCTCAGCGGCATAAGCGCCTGCCTTGCAAGCAGGCAGTCGTGAGTTCCATCCCTGGTACCGATAAAAACGAAAAAGACAAAAAAGAAAAAGAAAAAAGACAATAAATAATTAATCACAAAACTGCATAACTCACATAGATTTTGGATTTTTAGTTGGTTCTCTAATGCTTTTTTTTTTCTTTTCTTGTTTGTCTTTTTGAGACAGGGTCTTATGCAGTTCAGGCTGGCCTTGAACTCACAGTGATCCTCCTGCCTCAGCCTCCCAAGTGCTGGGATTACAGGAATGTGCCACCATGCCCAATTCTATTCTGCTAATGTTTTCATAGGTAGTAGGATAAGATTACCTTCATTAATTGGACCCTGGATATTGGTCAAAAAGGAAGATTCTTAAATTGGGTATGGAGCACATGCCTTTAATCTCAATATTCTGGGAGGCTAAGGCATTAAGAATTGCAAGTTCCAGCCAGTCTGGGCAACCTGGCAATTAGTAAGACTGCCTCAAAAAACAAAACAAAAAAAACCTCAAAAAGCAAAAACAAGAAAAAAAAAAAAAAAAAAAAAAAAAAGGAGTAGGGATACAGCTCAGTGCAAAGGTTCTGGGTTCAATTCCCAGTTTTTTTAAAAAAAAGGTTCTCATGCTATATTAACTCAGCATTTCCAGAATAGTACATTCAAAGTAAGCTCTTCAGATGCTCCCCCTACTTAGAATTACTAGTCTAGCCAGCTATGGTGGGACACATCTGTGATTCTAACACTTGGGAGTCTGAGGCAAGAAGACTCTGAGATCAGTCTGGACTACACAGCAAGTCTTGTTTCAATTAAAAAAAAAAATCTGATGAATTCCAGTTACCAGTGCTGTTTTCTACTACTGCCTGCCAGCCAGCCTGCAAACTGTGTGCTGAGAAACACAGTGGAAGACTGGGTGCAAATCTGGCTCTAAGGCTAGAAAAACCACACAGCATCATCTTGCAGTGAGGCAGGGGACTGGTCTGCATGAAAGGCTGGGGCAGTACTTTTTACTTCCTCTTTGGATCTGTCTCATGGGGTTAACTGATCTGCAGGCTAACTGCACTAGGAAACAAAATACATCAAACCTACTAACTATAGGAAGTTGGACAGCTTTCAGGATAAAGCAAAGTAAGAGCAAGATAATTCCTGGCTCCAGTGCTGACTGCCTTTCATGTGGTCAAGTAACCTGGCATTTCTGGATCTAAGTCATTCTTGATGACCTGGATTTCCAAACTCTCAGCTCAAAAAGTCATACTCTGGGAAATGACTTGACTTAAAGATCTTCTCTGAGATAGGGACAAGAGATGAAATGTGGAGCTGAAATCAGGGCAAATTCATCTCTGATCCACTTAATAGCATCTTTCCAATTAATATTCATTGCAGGTCTGAGCCCAATTATTCAGCAAAAAGCTGCATGAGATCACCTTCCAGCATCTCCCCAGCTCCTTTGGGGTAGTTGAAAAGCGCTTTCCGGGGTGGGGCGAGGTCTGAGACACTGAACCCAGATCCAGAGACAGAACTTCCACTGACCCCACCAGCTGAGGAGGACGATGAAGAGGCAGCCATTTCCTCTAGCAGAATTCTGACTTCCCTACAGAGAAAGAAAAAACAAAACACAAAAACAAAAACAGTTGGCAGGTTTATGGAAGTGAGATTGACAGCATTTCATTCGAGCTGCTATAAAGGCCAGCACATTGTATAAAGAACTAGCTCCTTTTCTATCTCTATAGCCCCACAATCTTTTACTGAAGCTTCCTGCCTAAATGTCACTTTGGTTTTTGTCACTTAAGAGTTTTGAAACAAAAATCTGTTGAAGAGTAATTTGGCTACACAGAACACCACTTGCCACCATTAGCAGAGTGGATCTGTCGGTGGGGAGTGATGGTGGATGTGTGATTTATGAGACGTGAGGGGTAATACGACAGTGCTAAAGTGGAAATGAGACTGAGGAAATAAATTACAAGGATACAACCATGCTGCATAGGACAGTTTGTCTTGGATACATCCTGACCAAGCCACACCAAGAAACTGACTTATAAAATTTTCCAAATGAGATTCCAGAATAACACTGTGTTCCCTTGTCTAGGAAAGGAAACTGGTTAGGAAATACAAACTGGCACTTTCACCAAGTGTTTTTTTAAAACTCAAATGTAATACTACAGCTCACCACTTGGTGGCATCCCAAAACTAGAACAAAATAGCTCAGAAAAAGCGCTTGTGAACACAGTAGCTGTTTTAATAGTCTTTTCAAAGAATCTCAATGTAAATGAGGAAATCTGTACTGAATACATGATTTCTTACAAAAACTAAAAATAATTCTGCCCACATAAGCTTACATCATTTTAAACAAAGGATTTCAAAGTATATACTTTTTTTTTTTTTTTTTTGTCTTTTGTTTTTATCGGTACCGGGGATTGAACTCACGACTGCCTGCTTGCAAGGCAGATGCTTATGCCGCTGAGCTAAATCCCCAGCCCACAAAGTATATACTTTTTTAAAAAAATTTTTCACCAAAGTGTATAATTAAAAATTTGGCACTATGCTGATAAAACTTTCTTCCAGGATAAAAATGTTAAGAGCATGTAGCGTAGCTGAGCGGTCTGACGAAAATGTTCTATGTTCTATTTCTGTGTTGTCCAATATGAGAGCTACTAGTCTCATAAGCCACTATAAATTACTGTGACTAAGAATGGGATTTTCAATTTTGTTTAATGTTAGTAAAAAATTCAATAAAGTCACATGCATTATACTGAATAATGGAGTTCTAGCATTTAAATTTAAAAAATGACTGCAGCCAGCTGTGGTAAAGGACTTGCCAAGTTTGAGACCAGTCCCAGTCTCAAAAAATAAATGAGAGAAAGAAAAAAACAAAAAACTTGGATAATTATTATTTCAATGTTATGTGACTTTTTTTTTTCTTCAACTCTTATGTAAGTTATGTGACTTTTTAAAAAGGGCTCTGAAGTGTATTTTCTTAGCTACACAGGAGTTTAAGGTCAGCCTGAACTATAGCTCCTGTCACACACACAAAAATGACAAAAAAATTCCCCAAAATAAAAATAAAAAGAATTTTCTTCTAATGGCCAAAGAATTTGAGTATTTTTCCTTAACATTTTGTCATCAGTTATAAAACGAACATATATGCTACAAAAAATTGAGGGTAAGGGAATAGCTCTACATGGTAAAGCATGTGCTTAGCATATTTGAGGCCCTGTGTTCAGTCTCTGGCACTTTAAAAAAAAAAAACCTGAAATTCACTTTTTTAAAGATAGAAAACAGTAAAGGAATGCTACACAGATATGCATCGTATATATACAGAACAGCTAGTTTCCTAGGCAGGAAAATAATGTACTATGTCTGAAATGCTGGCTGTAGTTTCTTTAATTTATGATGATGATTTAAGGTAGTCAGAGAAGCTATCTTGGCTTATGATAAGTAACACTGATTAATACAGAAGTGGGATACAGAACTACAAGGCTATTGCTATATTTGGACTGGCAGCCTATTAAAATGCAAGTTGATTAACAACCTGTTTAAATTTGCTATTATGTTGTTTCTTTTCTGCTCTGAGCTCTGATAACTTTCCAAATTGTATTCATACCCACAGAGGCAACAATTTTTCAAGTTAGATTTGTATCCAATCTTTTGGACAATACTGGGTCAAAACATAGCTTACTATTTGTAAATGCTCTTTAAAAATAATTTAAGCAGTGATGGGCCAAATCTTCAATAGATTTCTGGTTGTACTGAAATAAAACATACAAGGCAACTTGGCCACCTTCTGGAAGGTAGGTTAGTTCTTTATTTTCTACCAGTTCAGAGTAGAACTTATTGTGAACTGTTTATACACCGTGTCTCACCTAAGATTTAAAACTCGAATCATCTTCCTCCATCCTGATAAATGCTGTTTAGCTGCAAACACTTTATCTTTGGAAATCAGCTCCTCAGCAGAGCACCCAAACAACTCCCAGAATGGGGAGAGCTTCAAAAGCCAGCCACAGTGGGACTACTAATGTAATATAATTAAAGTAAATGCAGGTTGCGGATATAACTCGGTAGCACAGCATCTGCCTGGCAAGCATGAGGTCCTAAGTTCGAATCCCAGTTCAAAAACAATAAAGTTTAAAAAGGGCCAGAGATATAGCTTGGTGGCAGGAGCACCTGCCCAGCAAATGCAAAGTCTTGAGTTCAATCCCTGGTATTAAAAAAAAAAAAAAAAAAAAAAAAAAAAAGTAAGTGCCTTTTGTCCTGTTCTCTTTCAAACTCAAAAATACTATATTGTACATTGATTCTCGGCCTTTTGGCTAGGACCAGGTATAGTACCTGTTCTTATCAGTTTAATATCTGATATGTCTTCTATCCGAGGATACCATATCATTCCATATACAAAATAGCGCTGAAAAATGGAAGCCAGAATTACTACAAGATTAATTTTATGCAGTGCCTGCTGGGGTACAAAGATGTACCAAGCAATTTCTAGCTCTAAAGATTTAGGCTAAGTATTTATTTACAGTAAATGTTTCAGAATGAATTAAATATTACTGCAGATCCCTTAAAGTTCACCTAATTTCCTAATGGTATAGATGACAACACTGAGGCAATGAGCAGGTGTGGCGGCTCAAGCCTGTAATCCCGGTGTTCGGGGGACTCAAGCAGGAGGATCACTTCAAGTTGGAAGCCAGCCTGGGCTACACAGTGAGTTCAAGGCCACCCTAAACTACATAGTAAGATTGTCTCAAAAACAAAATGAAACAAAACCAAAATCTCCCCTCCCCCAAATGCTGAGGCATTAAGATAATTTTAGCTTATGTGCTGTGATTCCTTGTTTTGTTTTGAGATGGGGTCGCACTAGCAGTCCAGGGTAGCACCAAACTTGTAGCAATACTCTTGCCTCAGCCTCCTGAGTGCTAAAACTGAGGCCAATCGCATCGTGGTTAAGAACTGACTGAAGCCTCTCTGCTTGGGTTTGTGTTCTGGTTTTGCTCTTCTACTATGACTCTGGTCAAATCACTTAAAATTTTCTATCCCTTAATTGTCTCACTTGTCACATGGGGTCAACGACAGGGCTTACCTTACAGAGGTGTTATGAAGATTAAATTAGTACATATAAAACTGGAAAAGTTTCAAGCTTGGCAAACACTTAAATTCTTTTTTCTTCTTCTTCTAAGGTAGACCTCAGGTTTTTTCTTTCTTTCTTTTTGGTATTGAGAGATTAAACATTAAACCCACAGCTACACACTGAACTACATTCCCAGTTTTTACTTTTCATTTTCAGATAGTCTAAGTTGTCTAGGCTGATTTCAAATTTGCTGTCCTTCTGCCTCAGCCTCCTGAGTACCTGGGATTGGAGGAATGTTCTTTCTACTATGCCTGGTTTTCATATTTATTATGTCCCAATACACTTGTTTTAATTGTCTGATGTAGGCACAGTTAACTTCTAAAGGAGGAAGGCTCCGTTCAGGATCTGCCTCTATTATGCCCTTCACACCCTACCACTGAGCTACACCTACAACGTTCACGTTTGGAAGAGTCTTGTCATCTTACAAAGAGGGAAGGAAATCTTCCTAACTTCAAGGCCCAGTACAGGGTCACATTTCCAGGATGACTGATTTGTAAATAACTAAACAAGGGCTAGCACCTCACATAGATTATGTGGGAGTTGGAGAAAGTGCCACCAACTTTGGTTCATTGTTTTTCTTTCTCATTGTCTAGGTTTATTTATACAAACCTATCTCCCACAAGACTCTCATACCCACAGAAGGTACTCAGGCCATATACGCCTATTTTCTTAAAAAGTGGTCTTTCTCTAAAGATGGGTGTGTTCGTGCTCCCTCGTAATCCCAGCATTTGGAAGGCTGAAGCAGGAGGACTGTTGTGAGTTCGAGGTCTGCCTGGGCTACAAAAAAACCTCATTGAAAATACATGATGAAGCAAGTTCCTGTTTCTACAAAGGCAAATTAGGCAAGCAATTGTTAAATTCCACCATCAACAAAGCGTCTCACTGTATTTCACTTAATCAGTTGGGGATTACAATTCAACTGCAAGTCTAGCTGGGCAAACTGGACAGAGAGAGCCTGGAGAAAGAAAGCGTCAACACCAACAGCTACCAACCTAACAATAAATTCACGTTTCCCCGAAAGCTCAGCCCAAGGAAGCGACGCCAGACAACCGCCCCACTGCGCAGGCGTCACCCTTCAGTCCGCATGCGCACTCCATTCATCGCGGCCTGAGGAAATTTCCATTTATACGCCCGCCGAGTCAGCCTCCTGTGTCTCCTCCTACCTTCTCCATTTTCCTACACTCTGCAGGTAGGATCTCAGGGGTAGCTCCATTTTCACAAGCTCCTAAAAGTCCTTCAACTCTCAAGCCACTTACCTCAGCGGCTTTAGTACCTTCCCCTACAGCCCCGCCCCCAGCGACAGCCGGAGCGGTCGCCCTCCCACCGACAAGAACGGCGGCGTGCGCGCGTCCGCGCAAGGAAGGCCACCGCTGCGTGCGCGCTCAGGAGTGGGCGTGGCCAGGGCGGGGAGGTGGGATAGGAGACTGAACTTCCGGAGTGCACTTCCGGGTTTGTTTTTTGCGCGTCTTGCTTTGGTTTACGTGGAGCAGCAGAGTCTTGTCCTCCCTTTTGCCGTAGTGGCGTTCTTGTTTCTGTTTACGGTTTAAGCGTCCTTTACGATATGCAGAAAAATACTTCTATCCTCAAATCTCCTTGAAGAAGGATTAGATTGACAATTTTTTTCTGAGCAGTCTCGGTCTATCCCTGAGCAAGAAAGGTAGATGACTTAACACAATCTTTCCCTCTAGAACTTCTGGTCTGAAAACTCAGCCTTAACATTCAAGGGTAGCTTTGTGGGGAACTTTCTTGGGAGGGACGGGGGAAAGTTTGGGGAATAGAGTAGCGGGTAATGTTATTAGACTCGCTAATTAAGTCCTCTCTTCAAGTAGGTTTACTTTGTTATTTCTCAAAACAAGAAACCTGGTTCTGTAAGCAGAAAAACTATCAATTATAGAGCCTTGCTGAGAATTGAACTGAGCCTTAGTGTATTTAGTAGGGGTTGATCTGTTTTCTTTGGAACCCTTAAGTATTTGGGGGTTCAAGACTATCCAAGACCTCGAGATGTGAGAAATACGACTGTTTAAATGAAAAGTAAAAAAGTGTATTACAGTAAAAGACCGGTCTCATTAATTCCTCTAAACATGCTTAATCTGAAGCAGTTCTGGAAGTCCTCTTTGGTGTCTTTTCGCAGCTATCTTGATGTCCCAAAAAGAGTGAAACAATTTTCGCCAAATTCTGTGAAATAAAAACATTGCTAGCATCCCAGCACTTGGAAGCCCAAGGCAGGAGAGGGTCACTGCTTTTGAGGTCTGCCTGGGTTACATAGCTCAAAGCCACCTTGAACCGCATAGACTTTCAAAAACAGAACAAAACAAAACGCCCCCAAACCCCAGAAAATCCCTGAAAACAAAAACAAGGGGTTGGGGGTATAGCTCAGTTGCACAGGGCCTTCCTGGTAAGAACAAGGTCCTGAATTTGACTCCAAGTAACAAAAACAAGAGAGGACTTAAAGAACTGCTTCAAAAAGTGGCAAGAGCTGAGTGTGGTGGCACACACCTGTAATTCCAGCACTTGGGAGACTGAGGCAGGAGGATTGCAGGAGGATCATTGCAAGTTCAAGACTAGCCTGGGTTACAAAGTGAGCTCAAGACCAATTGAATTGCATAGAGAGACCCTGTCTCAAAAAGAGAAAAAAAAATGATAAGAACTGAAGGCTGGCTGGCTGACACATACTTGTAATCCTAGAAGAGTACTTGGGAGGTAGAGACAGGAAGATTGCTGCAAGTGTGAGGCCATTCTGGGCTACACAGTCAAGATTAGCCTGGACTGGTAAGACCATGTCTCAAAAACACAAAACCCACTACAGTATAGGGTACATGTTTGAAGCGAGGTTGAGGTTTTTTGAGGGAGATTAATGGCATTGTGTCTTTTACTGTAGGAAGTTTTTTTTCTTTTTTTCTGAGGCAGAGTCTTGCTATGTATTTCAGGCAGGTTGGGTGGGCTTCAGTTCACTGTGTAGCCCAGATTGGCTATTCAAAGGGATCATTCTGCCTTAGTATGGCTTCCTGTGATAGATTTTTAAATATTAATGGTACTTTGGATCACACCTTGTTTGTGTGGTGGGAGCAATGTAAGAATTTAACCATAACTAGTCTGTAAATTATTTCCTAAGATATTATCATTACAGTATCATTTTGTGGTGCTAGGGGGTAGACACCAGGTCTTTTCCCAGGCTTTACCACTTAGCTACCGCCTTCACTTCTCCTAAATTACTGATGGACTAAACTGAGTGACCTGTAGAAATTGGACTACTACTCTCCACAGTTTGTTGGCCTGAAAACCACGTTAGTTAAAAGTTGTATTTTGACAAGTGACTGGATCTGGTTGTTAGGTATATATTTCTTGTGCCTGTAAAAGTACTTAGGTTTCTCTTTCCTACCTCACAGATAAGTGTATGGTGTATCCTTTGTTGTAATGACCATGCCACAAGCGCTTAGGCGAATGTTGAAGGTTGCAGTTTATACCTTTTAACATTAAAGTAACAAAGACACCTCCCTTTTCTTTCACTCTCGGGGGTGGGTTGTATATAGAGGTCTTTTCATCGCTTTCTCTGGGGTGAGAGTCTGAATTTTTCTGCCTTCACAGCCAGGATGCAGTAGTGTGGTGGGAAATATGGCAGTTGACTTCCCAAGCAAATCTGCTGGAAAAGTCCTTTTGCTTAGGGAATACTGTAAACTGATGCCTGGTTCTGTCTTTTCAGGCCCACAAAAGATCCCATGTATAGAATTTTTATTTCTGATTAAATATGGGTAAGAGACTAATATTTTTTTTTTGGGACTTCACTAGGAGAAAGTGAAATGGAAGTTCTGCGGCCACAGATTATAACAATTGATGGCAGAAATTATAGGAAGAACCCTATCCAAGAAAAAACCTACCAACATGAAGAAGATGAAGAGGATTTCTATCAAGGTAATCCTGGAGTCTTTGGTCAGATTAGAAATAAAACATCCAGGGGCTGGGGATTTAGTTCAGCGGCATAACCGCCTGTCTTATAAGCAGGCAGTCGTGAGTTCGATCTCTGGTACCGATAAAAAGGAAAAAGACCAAAAAAAAAAAAAAAAACCCAGAAATAAAACATCCTCTGTATTGTAGGGACAATTGTTTCCTTTCACTGTATTACTTTTTTCTTTTTTTCATTGTATGGATATTTCTCATGATGTATATTTTCAAGGGTAATAACGACTTAGTCTGACACATTCTTGGTTGCAGTGTGTAAATCAGGTTTTATCTTTGTATAGAGATTTAAATGGCTGGGTGAGGTGGTACATGCCTATAATCTCAGCAACTGGCGAGACTGAGGCAGGAGGATCACTGTTGGTTTGAGCCCAGCCTGGGCTACATAGTGAGTTCAAGGCCTGCCTGAAATTCATAGGGAGATCCTGTCTCAGAAAACTAAAAAAAGCAAAAAACAAACAAAGAAACAATAAAATAAAACAAGTCCTCTCTTGAAATGTGACAAAGGGTTTCTTTTTTGTTGTTTTTGTTTGCTGTGTTGGAAATTAAACCCACGGCCTTTCCGTGAACTGCATCCTCAGCCCTTTTTCAGTTTGAATTTTGAGATGGTTTCCTTAAATTGCTAATTTGTCCAGGCTCAGACTTGTGATCTTCCTGCCTCAGCCTTCAGAGTGCTGGGATTATAGGCATGTGCCACCATGCCTGACCACAAGAGGTAATTTTAACTAGCTCTTAGTAATTTTTTTGAAGGTAGTAAAATACAACAGAACAAGACAGAACAAAGCCAATCGAGACAATGCAGTGAAATTGGTACAGAACTTCACAGCAGGGTAACAGGATAACAGTAATAGGTACTATAGTGTATCTCACTATCTTTACAATAGTGGTCTTTTTAATCAGGTATAGAAAAATCAAACCAAATACAGAACATCATAAAACCTATTAAAACAGAGTATTGAATAGAGCAATACAGTTAATCAAACCAAAGCAAAACAGTGATAACAATATCTGCCTTCAAAGAGATGGTAGAAGGAAATCTCAAGAGATGCTCAGGCTTCTGTCTTCCATTTGCTAACGGCGGGTGTGGGAGGGATGTTAGGTTCTCAGTCCAAGTGCCTGGAGGCTCATGGCTGCTTACCAGGGAGGCGAGCGGATTCCTCAAGTAGCTATTAGTATTAACCACTACTATTCTGTGACAAAATGAACTACCTTCATCTGTGAAGTAATATATATTAATTATCAAATTGAGGCCAGCCTGGGCTACATGGCGAGTTCAAAGTCAAATAAAAGGACATGTATAAAAAAATTAAAATCATCGTCTAATAATGTTAGCTGTTGTTACTCTATTATTTTTTTCAGTCATAGATTGAGAGTTCCAAAAACTACAACCAACTTTATTATGATATATGATAATTCTAAGAAATAAACAACAAAAAAAGAAAGAAACCAAATAGTTGAGATGGGTTATAAGTATTTTCAGGGTGATTACTTTGGGTGTGGGTTGGTGTGTGAGCAGGGCCTGGCAGGCTGTGACTTTCCTTTGTGGTTTTAAGCCTTTCCAAAGTTCCCTAAGCCTTGGGAGTCAGTTTGCCCTCTGACCTTCCCCTTCTTTCTCGTCGGCCTTGAACCTTGAGTTTCATTCCCCGCCTCTTTTCTCTGTCTCTGTTCCATGGAGTAGATTCTTCCAGTATCACTCCTATCGCATTTGCTGAAGAAATTTTGTGTCCTAGTATTAAAAGCTACTGAATTGTCTTTCTTTATTACTGATTTCTTTCTTTGTTAAGACAGGGTCTTGCTATGTAGCTCAAACTGGCCTTGAACTCATGATAATCCTCCTTCCTCAGCCTGCTGAGTGCTAGGATTACAGACCTGTGCCAACATACACCTGGCTTTTTTTCTTTGTGTCTTTTTTTTTTTTTTTTTTTGTATTTTTACCGGTACCAGGCATCGAACTCATGACCACAGGCTTGTAAGGCAAGCACTTATGCCACTGAGCTAAATCCCCAGCCCTTTTTCTTTGTTTTTGAGACAGGATTTCCCTGTGTGTTTCTGGCTGGTTTTGAATTCACTCTGTCGTCCAGGCTGGCCTCAAACCTGTAGCAATCCTCCTGAGCTCTGGAATTATAGGCATGTGCCACTATGCCCAGCTGAATTGTATACTTTATTATCTTTTTAAAATTAAGCTTATTGGTACCATTTAGAAATATATATTGATTGCATTCATCATAGGAAATTTATACCTGTACCTTATATCTTTGTACTTCTTTTTTTCCCATTCCCCTCCCCTCAACCTCTCTTCTCCTTATTTACAAAGCCTTGTTTCCATTTATACTTCTTTCCTTTCTTTTTCTTCCCTTCCTTCTTTTTCCCCTTTCCTTCCCTAGTTCCCTTTTCCTTTTGAATATGAATTGTATACTTCAAAAGAGCAAATTTTATGTTTGGTGACTTATAACTCAAAAAAGTAAATAGTAAAAATCCCAGCACCCTGGGAAGCTGAGGCCAGATTGCAGCCTGAATAATTTAGTGATTTAGTGGGGTCTTGTCTCAAAATAAAAAAAAGCTGGGTGTGATGGAACATGCCTATAATCCCAGCACTCAGGTTGTGGCAGGAGTATCTCTGACAATTTGAGACCAGCCTGGACTACAAAGTGAGTTCAAGGCCAGCCTGAACTACACAGTGAAACTCTGTCTCAAAAAGACAAAAATAAAATAAAAAAAGTAAAGAAAGGACTGGGAATGTAGTTCAGTATGACAGCTCTGGGTCCAACCCTCAGTACTGCAAAAAATAAATAAGTAGAAAAAGTTTTTATTGTGGCTTAGCTTTCTAAGAGAAAACAGTTAAATACTAGAATGTGTATCCTGCTTTCCCAAGGTTTCAAGTCTGAAAAATTTGGAATAGTCATTATTTGGGGGGATGTTTTATGCTTTTACTTTTCTGGTGGTGCTGGGGAGTGATCCCCAGGCCCAGGGTGGGTCAGGAGCACTGGAGTAGCGGGCAGTGGCTGTGGTGGGGATGTTGTCCTTTTCGGGGCTGCTGGGACTTTGAAGCCCAGCAAGCTGACGCAGGGAGAAGGCTGCATCCCGAGGCAGGGGCCCATTGCTGAGGTGCTGCGATTTGTTTCTGCTGTTTCTGCGCAGACTCCATGGAGGGCGCTGATGAGCCCTGTGATGCCTACGAGGTGGAGCAGACCCCGCAGGGCTTCCGGTCCACAGTGAGTGCCCCCAGCCTGCTCTACAAGTGAGTGTGCCCGCAGGCCAGCCAGGGCACGCGGCTGGCCCGGCAGACTGTGCTCCGCTTCCCCTATAACATGTTTTATGTCCCAAAATGTCAAAGCACAGTTCCAGGTTCCTGTCGTCACTCCACAAGTGCTGCCGAGGTCTCGGTGCAGCCTCTCCAACGTCCTTTGCATCTGTCATTTAAAATGTACTACACCCTTCGCCTTTCCTTCGAGGACTTCAAGTGGCCACTTACTGTCCATGTTTCTTTTGCTTTTCCAGTCACTTTATCAGTTGCAGGGTGCAGTAGCCTTTTTTTTGTGTGTGTGTAACGGGATCGAACTCACCACTGCGCACTTGCAAGGCAGGCACTTATGCCTGCTGAGCTAAATCCCTAACCCTATAGTGGCCTTTTAAAAAAGAAATCCGGGGGCTGGGGATTTAGCTCAGGGGCATAAGCACCTGCCTTGCAAGCAGGCGGTCGTGAGTTTGAGTTTGATCCCTGGTACCAATAAAAGTGAAAAAGACCAAAAAAAAAAAAAAAAAAGGTGGAAAAAAAAGAAAAAGGAAATCCGACTGTTTTGCCACGCTTGTGCCCTGTGTGGGAGGGCTCAGGGGAAGAGGAATCGCCGTCCAGCAGGGCTATGGCCACTGGCTGGGGCGTGACTTTGCTGGCCCTGCGCTTTTCAGTTTTACACCACACCCCTCTATCCCTGGCCTGGCCCTCGAGGTTCCTTAGTTCCCCAAATCCGCTGCGCTCCTTCCCACCCTAAAGCTTGCCTATGCTGTTCCTGCTGCCACAGTGTAGTGTTTTCTCTTTCTCAGCTGCTTCCTCCCTCCCAGGAGCCCCTGCTTTGACCCCAGGCATCCCTGCCAAGCCAGGCCCTTGCTCTTTGTTTCCATAGCAGCTGTCCTGGTCACCGTCTCCTTGCTGAGAGACAATACCCATCACACACACTGAGAGGAGGAAAGGTGTGTTTTGTGGGGGGAAGGGGCCAAGTGCAGGAGAAGCTGCCAAGTCCAGACTGGCAGGAAGTAGGGGAGGGGGGTCAGGGAAGAGAGCCCCCTTCTGGCCACCCATAGTGACCAGCCTCCACATTCCCCTCAACCTCGAGGCTGTTGGCCACCTTCCAGAACACCCACCTCTGAGTGTGTGCGGCTCTGGGTGACGTCTGGATAGATGCCATAGCAGCGCCTCTGCTTTGCCTTTGTGGCATGTATCATAGTCCTTGCGTATTTTTATCTGTGTGGCGTTTGTTGTCTTCTCCACTAGGTGGGAAGATATTTGAAAGTGGGAGCATGTCTGTTCCACTTCTTCTAATCACTTTTCTCCCCTGTGGTGCTGGGGTGGAATCTTACGTGCTAGGCAAGCACTCTACCACTGAGCTGTGTCCCCAGCCCTATCAATCCCTCATGCTTATCAACGACTAGTATGCTTTCCCAGACTCATCTTTATATGTTGCTTGTGTGCCTGCCTGCCCACATTCTGTCCCCTGCCGATTGCTCATAGACTAGTCAGTTTGTGTGGCTGCTATGGTTTATATCTAGATGACCCCCCAAAGCCTCAGGAATCACACGTGGGGTTTGAGGAAGTGATTGGCTTTGGGAATAAATGTGATGTTGGGAAATGGGGCCTGATCAGAATAAGTGGCTCATTGAGGGCGTGGCCTGAGAGTGTCTCTCCTTCCCTGGCTCCCCTCACTCTCTGCTTCCCGAGTGCCATGAGATGGGCAGCTTCTCTCCACCAGGCCCTAGCACCATTTGCCAACCATGCAATGGCCAGTACTTCTAAAATGTGAGCCAAAATAGATCTCTCTTCCTTTAAGTTGTATTGGGTATTGTGTCTTAGCAACAAAGAGAATGACTAAGACAGTGGGTAACTAGCCTCTCTGGGGCTTGTAGTTCTAAAAATAAACTGGTCCTGGAAGTCCACAAATTAATTATATGATTGTGTCTCTGTGTTACAAAGGATGAATTACTTATTCTGGGAGGGAAATCGATGAATATGAAATCATACACGTTTAAGTTCCACCAGGCAAATAGTTTCATTTTCTTTCTTTTTTTTTTTTTTCTTTTTAAACATTTTTTTTTTGTCTTTTTCGTTTTTATCGGTACCAGGGATCGAACTCACGACTGCCTGCTTGTAGGCAGGCGCTTATGCCACTGAGCTAAATCCCCAGCCCCAAATAGTTTCATTTTCATTAACCCTGAGAACTTTCTGAAATACCTTTAGGGGTGAAATTTGTCCTGGAATGGGAGCAAATGGGAGATGAGAGCCAGTCTGATGGCACACTTTCCTTTCAGGCTCTGGTGACATTTTCCCATAAGGAGCATAGTTTTAGAAAGTCATGGCCCAGTTTCTTTAAAAAAGATCAGTGTAACATGTGTTAATTTATATATTGGCTACTGTTAAGTGTGTAAAAATTCCTTAGATGTCTGATTCTAACTTGCTGATACTTCTAATTCTATATGTGCTAAATATTCATTATGTACCAGACAACTTGCATGTTAGATTAGATATTGGCTCTGCTGAATTCTAATTAGTAGACAATATTTACTAGCATGATTTCTTCTGAATATATATATATATTTTTTGAGAGAATGACTCACTATGTAGCTCAGGCAGGATTTAAACTCACTGTTGTATCCCAGACTGGCCTTGAATTTGGAGGGATCTTCCTGCCTCAGCCTCCAGAGTGGTGGAATTACAGGCATGCACTACCATACCTGGCTAATGCCCACTGGCAAAGTACACATTTTGAATCTGGTGCCTTAGACCCTTCAGCCATCCTGGTATTCCACCTGGGAGCTTTAAAAAAAAAAATCCCAATGTCTGTGTGCACTCCAGACTAATGAAATCAGGAAGTCTGAAGGCAGAACCTGGGCATTGTAAATTTTTGCAGTCTTCTGAGTTGCTACATTGTGTGGCTGATGTAGGGAAGCACTGGATGGGTGGGAATTTCCATACATGTTTAGCCAAGGAATTTCCCTTTCACTGTTTGCCTGTCTCAGTGCAGCTAGAATTTTAGACTTCACATGAACAGCTTTTGAGGCTGGCTGTACTTTTACCCTGGGCTCACCAAGGACAGCATGGAATAGCTGATGCTTCGGCCAGTCCCTGGGAAGCTCTTTCATATATGATCATATTTAATCCTTGCCATAGCTTTGTGATCCATAGATTTTATTTTCCCCTCCTCTACCCTTCTCCTCTTCATCATCATTATCATTTTGGTGGCAGGGAGTGAACCCAGGCCTTGTGCATGTTAAGCACAAGTGAGGAAATAGGCCTGCAGTGGCTAGATGACTTGCCAGAGGTTTGTTTAAGTCTAAAACCTCTTGGGCCTCATTGCTGAAGCTGAGACCATGAATAACACTTTGAGCTATTGTCTGTGATGGGCTTGTCCACCAGCTATGTACCAGTAAGCAGGAGCCTGATTCAAAGCACTCTTAATTGCCAAGGCCTGGGAGACAAAGGCCTGATGGATTTGGTGTTGTATACTGTCTAGCTCAACACAGAGGAAAACCATGTGGAATTGCAGAGTTGTAATCCTCTCCTAAACATAGTTTTTTTTTTTTTTTTTTTTTTTTGTACCAGGGATCGAACTCACAACCTCACGCTTGCCAGGCAGGCACTTACGCCACTGAGCTAAATCCCCGGCTCCTAAATATAGTTTTTAGAAGTTTTTTTTGGAGGGTGCCGGGAATCAAACTCATTACCTCACACTTGCCAGCAGGCAGTTTTGTTGTTTTTGAGAATTAGATGTCTGATTCTAACTTGCTGATATTTGCAATTCTATATGTGCTAAATTACTGCTTTGTAGTTCAGGCTGGCCTTGAACTTACTGTGTGGCCCAGGCACACCTCAAACTCGAGGTGATCTTCTGCCCCAGCCTCCCGAGTGCTAGGATCACGGGTTTGTGCCACCATTTCCAGCCCTGTTTTGTTTTTTGTTGTGCATGGGATGGAATCCAAGGCCTCACTGCCAGCCTAAAACATAACTTTTTAAAAACGTGGCTCATTCCAGTAGATTTTAATGGAAGTAGTTAGGCTTGGTTATTCTGTATGAAAGCTAGTGAATAAGGATTTTGTAGCTAAGTGCATGCTTGGCATGTATAAGACCCCAGGTTCAACCTCCAGCGCCCCCACCCGATAGAAGAATAGTTTTAGACATAATCACCCATGGTAATCGGTATATAATTGAAATCGTAGTTGAAATAATGTTGATGACAGGAATTTCTTAACTTTATATTCTTCTGATGGTCTCTTAGTGCTTCTTAGACTTACTCACTTTGACATATGTAATTCCTGTGGGTTCCAGAAGATGACTGCAGTGTCACAATTATGTATACTAGGGGGCCCAGACAGCTAAGCTGCATGAGTTAATAAATGAAGTGGGGTAGATGTAAGATAGCAGGAAGGATTGTGGTGAGCTCCTGTCGCATCCTTGAGTACATTTGGGTTGGCTCCAGCCAGTCATTACTATGAATCAGATCTTCTGGTTTTTCTCTGGAACCTGAAAATGTGTATATTTAGGTGAAATCTGCTCCGAACAGTGTGTGTGTAGAATTCACCTTGAGGATTTACTCTCTGCTTTTGAATTTGTCCTGAACGATGAGCTCTGCTCTCTGTTAGCTGCTTACCCTAAATCAATCAAGGATAATTCTCTTAGGATGAACTCATAATATAGTTAAGTTGTTCTTGAAATGTACCAGGTTCTCCTGCCTCAGACTATAGCCTGCAGTTGCTGAAAGTGCTCTGTGAGAGTGTGCCAGATGTCCTCACTGCCCTATAGACCCAGATTTTGAATTCGAGTTTGAGAAACACACAGAGCGTGGTCCTGGTCAGTCTATGTGGGTGTCATTTTGCCAGTGAGTATAATGCAGTGTGTTCTATAAAGCTAGATAGGTATAATTGTCTCTACCAATAATGAACTTCTGAAGCACTTTTGTGGAATGAAGTATCTCTGACTACAAAGGATTTAAATATGATGGAATTCCTTGTTTTGGAATAATTTGATTTAACTTCCCACTAACTAACTATTCTTCATATTTATAGGCATATAGTTGGAAAGAGAGGGGATACCAGAAAGAAAATAGAGATGGAGACCAAAACTTCTATTACCATTCCTAAACCTGGACAAGATGGAGAAATTGGTGAGAATCAGTCTATATATGTTATGTTTACATGTGAATGGAGCGGGATAACTCAGTTGTCATTTAATGACTTTATTTTCTGAAACTCAGTAGCTATTGGCTTTTTTTTTAGTACTAGGATTGAACCCAGGACTTTTCCACTGAGATACATCCCCAGCCCTTTTTATTTATTTATCTATTTTTCTAATTATTTTTATTGGTACCAGGGAACGAACTCATGACTACCTGCTTAAAATGCAGGCGCTTATACTGCTGAGCTAAATCCCCAGCCTCGCCCTTTTTATTTTTTGAGACAAGGTCTTGTTAAGTCTCTAAGTTGCCAGTCTGGACTTGCACTTCGAATCTTACTGCTTCAGCCTCCCAGAATGCTGGAACTACAGATGTGTACAACACTGTGGCACAGATGTTAAGCTCCTAGGTGAACACAGATGTACACACCTGCCCCTGACTTTGTATCTGGGCCTTGATTTTGACTGGGCTGAGTACTTGACTTGACCACGTATTGATGGAATGAAATTCCAGATTTTCTTGTGCATTAGATTTCTTTATGCCTTGGTAACTTCAAATGCTGTTTATGTAAAAAACTCAATTAGAGCAGGAAATGTGAAGCAGTGTTCAGTCCTTTGATATGCGTTCACTAAGATTTTACTGCTGTGTTAGACCAGCAAGAAAATGTTGATTAATATGAGATTACATAAGATAAAATGATACGATTAAATAATGATAAGAACAATAACATAATCTGATTCAAATAACTGCTCAGTTGAGGAAGGACAGTTTGGTGGTACAAATCAAGACACAGAATGTCTGGAACCAGGTTTTACTGTGACTCAAAGACACAGGCTTAAGTTTTGCAATAACGAGGGATGCTGTGGGGACAAAATTCCTAAAACATTCTAAAATGATAGGACTTCAAAGCGGCAGCTTCCTATAATTTATTTTTTTCCTTCTCCTTCTCTGCCCCCTCCTCCTCGCTTCCTCCTCTTTTTTTTTTTTTTTTTTTTTTGAGATGGGGTCTTGTGGCATTGCCCAGGCTGGTGTCAAACTCCTGGGCTCGAGGGTTCCTTCTGCCTCAACTTTCTTCCTAGCTGGGTAGGTGCTGGGCATGTATGACTGTGCCCATCCACCGGTGGTCCATCAACACACCTATGTTTTGGCAAAAAAAATTACATGTGCTTTTTTTTTAATGGATGAGAAGTTTAACTTGGCTCTGGTACAAGTACTCTTTATTTCATGCTTATATGAATAACCACCATTATAAGTAAGTAACCCTTGACATGAGAACAGAGCTGTCCAAAAGAACTTTCTGTGATGCCCAGAACGTCCCATAGCTCTCATGGAAGCCGTGTGTAACTATGACTCTAGGATATGGCCAGTGTTACAGAGAAGCTGAAGTTTTAGTTTTGTTTGATTTTACTTCATTTATTTATTTATATACTTTGGAGGGAATACTAGGGATCGAACTTACAACCTTGTGCTTGCCAGGCAGGTGCTTACGCCACTGAAGTAAATCCCCAGCCCCAATTTTACTTCATTTCGGCCCCACATTGGACAGCTCAGTGCTAGAGCTTCCCTGGCCTTTGGCAAGTTCATTAAACTCTTCTATATAAGAACTTTTAGCATTATTTTGTTCTGTTTTATTTCTGCTGGGGATCAAACTCAGGGCCTCGTGTATACCAGGCTAATGCTCTACCACTGAGCTGTATCCCCAGCCCTTAGCATCATTTTAGAAGTAAAATAATATTTGGTTCATTAGAGTTTTAAATCCAAATCTTGAGATTTTTCTTAAGCTTTAAGATTTAAGTTAAAAGTCATATATGGCGGCACATGCCCTTAGTCCCAGCACTCTGGGAAGTTTGTTAGGAAAAAGGAAAACAGAGGTCTGAGCTCCACAGGACAGGTTTATTTCAGATCAAACCTGAGAGGGACTGTTCCAGCCCTGGAGACCAGACCGGGTGCTCTCTGCAGGCTCTGAGATCTTTTACAGGGTCAGGGGGATGGGGTGGGATGCGGGCATGCTGTGAAAGGAAGAGGTCACAGTGGGCTCTGAAGGGGCGGAGTCAGTGAGAAGCAGTGTGGCTCCCTGCCTGGGAAGAGGCCCGCCAAAGCTTAGGGTGTTGCTGCTGCTTGTCAGGCACAGGGCTCAATAATGATGCGAGTTATGGGTTGTGGCTGTGCTCACTGGGCCTTATCAACCCTTAATTAGACATTTTCAGCAGGTGCAAGAATAGCAGGGGAAGAGGTTTAAAGCAGTCTCTGCTCAGAGCAGGATGCCAGTGACTGTGTTCCTTCAAGGCTGAGGCAGAAAGATTGCAAGTTTGAGCCCAGGTGGGCAGTGGAGCAAACTTAAGGGAGACCCTATCTCAAGAACAAACAAACAAAAAAGAAAAAAGACAACTAGGGATATAGATACAACTCATTGTGAAAGCCCTGAGCTCAATCCTGAATACTGGGGAGGAGGGAACCAGGGAGGAGCAAGAATTTAGCAGAACTAAGCCAGACATGTGGTGCACACTTGTAATCCCAGCACTGGGGAGACGAGGCAGGAGGATTACTGTGAGTTTGAGACCAGCCTGGGTATGTAGTGAGTTCAAATCCAGCCCGTACCTCAAAGTGAGACTCTTATCTCAAAAAAAAAAAAAAAAAAAAAAAAAAAGCACGAATTTGGCAGAACTAATTTACTTGAAAAGCAAGAAGATAAGGCTTCTAGGGAATAAAATATCTGGAAATATATTGTTTGATTATATGTGATGTGAAATCAAGACTACAGTTGTGTCAGCGTGGGTTTTGTTGTTGTTTAGTTTTTTCATTTTGCCCTATGTCAGAGAAACTGGAGGAGGAGGTCACCTAGTGGATTGGAATTGTCCTCTGAAGAACCACCCACTCTTGTCTGTTTTGAAGGCTCAGTCAATGGGAGGTCAGAAGGAATTTTTAAAAGGACTGTATCATTGCAGTTAGGAATTTTTGAAAAATTGAACCTGGGGCTGGGCTGCAGCTCCAGGGTAGGATACTTGCCCAGTTTGTAGAACCCTGGGGTCCCACTCCAGCACTACAAGAGAGAAAAAGTAAAATGCCTTTCATTATTTTCTTTCTGCAGGTTTTCTGTCGTAGTCCTTAGATACATGCCACATAAATTCTGTCCTGTCAGGTATTTGTAACTGTGGGTTTTGTTTTTGTTTTGTTTTTTTCTAAGACAGGGTCTTAATATGGAATTTAGGCTGCCCTCAAACTCACTGTATAGCCTAAACCAGCCTCTGACTCACAGTGATTTTCTTGCCTCAGCCTCCTGAGTGTTGGGATTACAGTTGTGTGCCACCAGGCCCAGCAGCAGCTGTGGAATTTTTTGTTTTTCTTTTTGGTACCAGGAATCGAACTTATGACCTTGTGCTTGCCAGGCAGGCACTGTGCCACTGAGCTATATCCCTAGTGTCATCAGATCTTTTTTAAAATTTAATTTTTTATTTTAAAGAAGATAAAACCAAGGAAAATAAAACAATAAAACCAAGCAAAATAAACCAGTATAAGTGATACAGGACTTCAAAACCTTACAAAACTAACCATAGTTACCATAATGCCTTTTGTTGCATTCAAAATAGTTGTAGATACCTTTGAGCATAGTAAAAATTGAATAGAACAGAATAGAATCGAAACAATAAAGCCAAAACAGTGCATGCAATAAAGGACTTCAAAACAAGCCTAGAGTAAACCCAAAATGCCTGCCATAAAATGTCTTGCTATTTTTCAAATAGATGCTCCTGCCATCAGATTTAACACAAACAAAACAAAAGAGAATAAAACCGAACCTAACAAAACAATGAAAATGATACAGTTTCCAGGCAGGGATTGCTTCCTGGTGAGGCCTGGTTCTCTCCCTCCGCAGTCTGGGATGGCACTGACTCACACAGAGAGGCCGGGTCTGGGGGTCCCCCTCCGGCAGTGGACTGCACATCCATCTGAGCCTCTTATTGGAACCACCTGTTTCTCCCACGGCCTGGGTGCTTTTTGCTCCACAGTTTAATTATTCTCCTAGAGCCTGGGTGCTCTTTGCCTTGAACTTTAACTCTGTGCCTTTGCCCCATATTTTCACCATTCACTCTCCATAGAGCCTATGCACTTTTGGCCCACAGTTCAGTCATTCTTGCCTCTAACTCATGGTGATCCTCCTATCTCAGCTCTCAAGGGCCCATGGCAGATTACTTACTTTGGATCCTTGGAGCGGAACTGCTGGATCACATGACAATTCTGTGTTGAAAATTGTAGGGCTCTGGCAAACATTTCCATAGCAACATGTTAAGCCTCTTTTCTTTGTTTGCAGTCATCACTGGCCAGCATCGAAATGGTGTAATTTCAGCCCGAACTCGGATTGATGTACTCTTGGACACTTTTAGAAGAAAGCAACCCTTCACTCACTTCCTTGCATTTTTCCTCAATGAGGTCGAGGTTCAGGAAGGCTTTCTGAAGTTCCAGGAGGAAGTACTTGCAAAGTGCTCTGCGGTAAGCTGCCAACAAAGCAGAAAGTTTAAAGAGTCAAATATTGAAAAGCACAGAAGTGTCTGCCATTCAGCCAGGAGGAAGATACAAGCCCTTTTCCCATCGTGGCTTTAGGTGGCTGCGTATAGTTCTGAACTGAAGAAAAGCACCCCTGCATTTCCGTGTGTTAGACAGACAGACCGACAGACAGCGTACACATTATCCTTAAAGTGGAGAGATGCAGGGGTTTGCTGTCATACTCACGATCTTCCATTCCTCTTGGTGGCCGTGTTAGTGGGATGCCACCCCCTGTGGATATTCTGTCATGGTGTGCATGCGTTAGGACTGGGATTAAGAGATGAACTCAGCAGGTCACCCACTTTGTGGGTCCTCTAAGAGAGACAGAAGCTTTTCTTCCTTTCAATAAATTCCTACTCTTAAAAAAAAAGGGGGGGGGCTGGGGATTTAGCTCAGTGGCATAAGCGCCTGCCTTGCAAGCAGGCAGTCATGAGTTCGATCCCCAGTACCGATAAAAAGGAAAAAGACAAAAAAAAAAAAAGACAAAAAAAAAAAAAGGTTTCAATACAAGTTTTGGGAAAAAAAAAAAAAAAAAAAAAAGGGATGAACTGAAATGGCAGGCTTGTATAATAAGGAAGCACTGTGATAATAGCAGATAATCCAGATTAGAAAACAAGTTTTGAAACTTCTTTTGTATATAATTCCACTTGATTACAAAGAAAACTTGTTGATGTAAAAATTTGATAGATGTGATGTTTATTATAGAAAATGTAGGAGCCAGATATAGTGACACATGTGTGTAATCGTAGCACTTAGGGAGGCTGAGGCAGGAAGATCACGTCAAGCTTCAGGCCAGCCTGGACTACATAGTGAGTTTGAGGACAGCTTTAACTATACAGGCAAACCTTACCTCAGGGGAGAAAACAAAGCATCTAGAGAAAGAAAATGTAGGAAGTACAGACCTGCAGAAACAATAAAAATACAACTAATTGACCTTTTGGGAGTGTATTTCCATGAGTTCTAATACGCATGTACACTTCTGTAACTACCACATGATCAGAATCCAGAACAATTTCACTTTCAAGGTTCCTTTCCCTACCCCTAGCCCAGTGCAGTCAGTGTTCTCTTCTTCCCCATAGTTTTGTCTTTCTGAGAATTACATATACATGGACTCATGTACTAGCTAACCTTTTGAGACTGACTTGTTTTGTTTTGTCTAGTTTGAGACAGAATCTCATTATATAGCTCAGGCTGGCCTTGAAACTTGTGTTGGTCCTCCTGCCTCAGCTTCCTGCTAGTGTACCACCATGCCTGTGAAACCGGCTTCTTTTACTTAGTGTAGTGCCTTTGAGAGCCACATAGGCTGGATGTATCGGTAGTTTGTTCTTCTTAGTGGCTGAGTGTATTCCACCTTGCAGATGTGCTAAGATATGCAAATAGTGGATGCTTCTGTACCCATTGCAGTACAAGGGGTGATTAAAATATGTGGCAAAAAGAAATACATGATGAATGTTTAAATTTAAATAATTTATTGGAGGCTGGAGATATAGCTCAGTGGCACAGCGCCTGCCTGGCAAGTGTTAGGTCCTAAGTTTGATTCCCACTAACAGCCCTGCTGCAAAAAATGTATTACAGTGAAAGACACATTTCCATTAACCTCCCTCAAAACTGTCCCCCTTTCATACACATTATCCCATTATTCTTGTCACTTTGTGAAGCAGTTCTAGAAGTCTTCTTTCATGTTTTTTAAAAAATATTATTATTTTAAAGGAGGTAAAATTAAACACAACAAAATAGGATATAAGAAAGCAATGTAAGAGAGATAAATTTCGAAGCTAGATGACCTGAGATCTTCACTGTCATATGTCTCTTGTTTTCTTCCAAATAGTTGTCCATATTTTTGCATACAGAGAATTCATACAGAACAACATATTATAAAACTGATCCGAACAGAAAAAGGAAAGCGATTTAGGTCTTCAAAACCAGACAATAGGGAAGTCACTAATGGCTGTTGTAGAGTCTCTCGTTCTCTTCAAAATAGCTGTTCATACCTTCATGTACATTGAAGTTCAACAAAACAACAAAACAGGCGGCGGGGAGGGGTTGCTTGATTTCCCAGCTCTCCAGGTCCCAGCATGGCTCGGGTCCCAGTAAACGCCAGTGGCTCCTGTCCTGGGCCACTGCAGCCTGCCATGCTCATAGCTGCTCACGGTGCGTGTGTGCGTGCGCGTGCGTGTGTGTGTGTGTGTGTGTGTGTGTGTGTGTGTGTGTGGCAGGGGGAGGGTTGCTTCAAGCTGTTTCTTTATAATGAATTGACCATTTCACTGCCAAGTTCTGCAATGGCCAACAGACCATAGAAAGACATCTCTTTAGGCTCCTGCTTGAAACCAACAGCGGCAGGAGGCTGCTGGCCTTTATTCAGGGCCAATGATTTCACATTTTTAACAGATATGATTAAAAAAAAAATTGGGAGTGCTGCCACATACCATCCATGGAAAGGCAGCTCGCAGAGACGTGCTGGGCAGCCTTGCCTGTCTCATGCACTGCATCTTGCACTGACCAACTTGTTTATTACAGTGGAAAATCTCTGCAAACCACACATACTTGGAATAATTTATTTATTTATTTATTTTTAAGTTTTTTTTTTTTTTTTTTTTTTGTACAAGGCATTGAACCCACGCACTTGCAAGGCAGGCGCTTATGCCCCTGAGCTGAATCTCCGGCCCTATTTATTGTTTTTGAAACAGGGTCTCACTATGTAGCCTAGGCTGTCCTCACAGCAATCCTCCTGCCTCAGTTTTGAGTGCTGGGATTACCTGGGATTATGGTCTGGGATTATAAGCCGCCATGCTTGCCTACAATTTTCTAGCACATTTTTAAATGGCGTTTAGGTGGTGAAGCAAGGTCATAGCTATAAGTCAAATACCCATAAATATGTTCTGTGGCTGTTACTAGTGAGCCATCAAACGTCACTTTCCCCCTTAACATTTCAAAGCAAGGTGATTTCATCCTCAGTGGGAATGAAGGGTAGAATAGCAGATCAGAACTACATGCGTGTCAGTATAGGCTGGTGGGTGGAGGCTGTTAAGTTCTGAAATGATTTTACCTTGTAAATACCAACTACCAAAGCTCAGCATTGTATTTATTTGAAATGTTACAAACACCTGTATAAGTGGATGGTAGTAAATGTCTCTTTTTTCCCTCTTTGTGTATGTATGCCTGCGCCTTTTCCTTCTCTCACTTTTCTTTTGGCTGCTGGCGCGGATTGACAGGGAACAAATACTGGAAAAACTAATTCAGCTGGAATGAGACTGACCGCTCTGCACATCATGCTGGCTCTAATGAGTCCCAAGTACTTGCTCCCGCTTTCAGGAGCCGGCAGACTGACAGAGCTGCCTTCCAGCCTTTCAAGCAGGCCCTGCCAACAGCAGGAGATAAACACAGCATACACTGTTAGGTGGAGGAGATTGTTAGCAGGTTTCATTCTGGTGTTTGAATGACAGGCAGATGGCTACGGAAGGCTGCAGGCACTTTCCAGTTGTATTCCACGCTCTTCCAATTTCAGTGAGCTCCCTTCTAGGAGCTTGAGGCACAGGTCCCTGTTCTCTGAGGTGGCACTTATTTCCCAGTAGACTGTGTAGCATTCAGTCTTGTTTTGTTTCCCCTGAAACTCACTTAGATCATGGAGTTTCATTAGTTGCAAAATAGAGATAGTCTCTGCCTTTCCTTAAGATACAGGAAAATAAACACTTTTTTTCTTTTCCTTTTTCTCTCTCTTTTTTTAAATCCAGTTGGCTTTTTTTTTGTACCAGGAATCGAACTTAGAGCCTCATGCTTGTCAGGCAGGCACTATGCTTCTGAGCTATGTCCCCAGAGCCTGTTTGAGCTTTTATATTTAGATCTGTGATTCCTTTTGAGTTAATTCTCATGTATGATAAAATGTATGGATCAAAGTTTTGTTTTCCCCCATGTAGGTATCTAGTTTTCCCAGCACCATATTTTTCTGTTCTTGCCACACTGAGTGGCATTGATTCCTCTGTCAGAAAACAGATGACTTTGTATGTGTGAATCTATGTATGGATCTTATTCATATCTGACTGTATAGCAGTACTACGTAGTGTTGATTACCAGTGCTTTGTAGTAACCTTCTAGTCTTACAGTGTGTGCCTTCCAACTTTGTTCTTCAAGATTGTTCAGTCTTCTATATTTCTGTGTGACTTTCAAAATTAGCTTAAATTGCTACAAAATTCCCCTGGTAATATCTTGTAGTTTTAATGCACGTGTCAAACATATGGGCCAGGCTCTGTGGTGTGCACTTTTAATCCCTGCAGCAACCAGTGGCTGTGGTGGGATGATTGCTGTGAATTCAAGGCCAACCAGGTCTATGTAATAAGTTCAAGACCACCCTGAACTGTACAGCAAGAGACTCTGTCTCAAAAACGCAAAACAAAACAAACAACATATGTACATTGTTTTATGGTAGTACTTCAGTTAGGAATATTCTTTCTATGATTCTGGTTGGAAACTGAACTGAATGAGAACCAAATCAGATTTCCCATAGAGGTCAATATTGATCCTAACCACTGAATTTCATTTAGTTCCCATCCAATTCATTTGTGACTAGAATCATGGAAAGAATTTAGTTCGTGAAGTGAGGTGCCACTCATATGTTAAGATATTTGTTGTATATTTGTCTTCCTAAATTCTTGGTTTTTATGTTTGTTTTGTCTTTTTGAGATGTGGTCTCATTTGTGCAGTCCAGGCTGGCCTCAAACTCACTTTGTAGCCCAGGCTGGCCTTGAATTCACAGCAGTGTCCCGAGTGCTGGGATTACAGGTGTGTACTGCCATGCCTGGCAGTTTTTATGTTTTGGATGCTTTTTAGTTTTTGCAGTACTGGGCCTTGAACATAGAGCCTCACACGTGTTAGATAAGTGCTCTTCCACAGAGCTACATACCCAGCCTTTTTTATTTTATTTTAAGGTAGGGTCTTACTAAATTGCCCAG